CGCTTTTTTAAACCCCCCCCCCCCCCCCCCCCCCCCGCCGTTGTCAATCACACACATGAGAATTCCCTCAGCCTTTGCTCCTTTACTTACCTTCAGAGTCGGGGACACGCTGGCCGCCAGCAGAAGCCACCCCTGGTTCTTTCACCCCGGCTGGTTCTGCAGAGCAGAGAACAGGTCAGTTCTGGGAAGACGCGCCCCGGCCCCCTCCCAGCCGAAACGCAGAACGAGGCACGGCCGCAATCCAAATCAGCAATGGGAGCACGGCCACAACCCAAATCAGCAATGGGAGCAGAGCCTGGGACGAGCCCAGCCGAGATCGGGCAGAGAGACGGATGGACCGGTCCAGTGGGTGTTTCCATCACTAACTCCGGAGGTGACCTGGCTGGGACGCTCGGACGCTCTGCCTGCCTAGCACAGCTGGGCACAGTTTGTAGATAAACATCAGGTCTAGTCAGTTGGGATGGTTCCTAGCTCCCAAGCAGCCTGGGCTGCATCTTGGATTCTGTGCCCACCCCCCCCTTCCTGCCAGACATGACTGGATCCCCGACGTCGTCAGCATGGCTCGGAATGAGGCCACCGGGATCTGGGATCCCGAGCTGCGGCTCACTCAAGCTCACGTCGCAAGGCAATAGCAGCGCTGGGAATGCTTCCCAAAGCCACGACTCCCTCCCTAACCACTAGGCCAGTCACCAACCGGTTGATCCGGATCTACCAGTAGGTCTTGGAGCCTCTGACAGGGGATCCTGACTGGTTTGGCTGGGAAGCTCTCAAGTGCTGGCACTTCAGTTGCCCCTCCACCCACTGTCATGCTGCTCCTGCTCCCCGCCTCGGAGCTGCCCCTTGCTGTGCAGGGCATGGGAGCGAGAAGGGGAGGAGGCTGATGTCAGGGTGTTCCTCCTTCCCCCACTCCTGTACCCCATCTCCTCACAGAGAGAAGGGGATGGAGGGAGCTTAGCAATGCAAATCTCTGTCACTCCCACACACTGTGTGTGTGTCTGTCCTTCTCACAAACACGCACTGTCCTTCCCTCTCGTCTCCTGGCCCAACACGTGCAGGGGGGTTGTTATACTTTCACTGCTTGCAAAGGGGGTTGGTTTTGGTTTCTGACCGGTCTGTGCGTTTCATAACTTGCATTTCTCTCTCAGGCTGAAATGGAATGGAATGTAATGCTTTGAGTGGTGGGTTCTAAAACCCTGAAGGTATCATGTCTGGAGTGATTATCCCTGTGGTAATTGCGCTCCTGGAGCCACATGCTGTCCTTGCCTACGGACACTGAACCTGCAGCTCTGTAATGGGGAATTGTGGCAAGTAGAGGCTGTGGGTTCAATTGCCGGTAGATGAGGGGCAGCACATGGCGCCATTGCTGTACATGGCAGTCACTTTCCGGAGTGGTGCTAGGCCTGTCTTGGCTCTGCTGCTCCATTCCTGGGGCATCTGTCTGGCCACTCCCACAGTGGATGGGACTTGAACCCACAACCTTACCTTCTGCAGGCCAATGCCCTAGCCCCTACTCCACTCAAGAATGCACCCTGCTGCCCAACCTTCAGTGGACCCCTTCTCCTGCCTTCCTAATATGGGAGCCAGCTCCATCCCTGGGGCAACTGGGGTTGGCTGCCAGGCCGCTACTGTGGCGGGTGGAGCAGGGACAGGAGGACAGGAGGGAACTCTAGTCCACCACCCTGTGCTCCAGGCACTGATGCCAGGTGACCCTAGGGCATTCCGGAACCCACTCTGCCTTCCTACCTTCAGGGCTCCTTATCCTCTGTTTGCTGTCTGGTCACTCCCAGGGTGGGCAGGACTCAAGTCTGCACTCTCGAGGCAAATGTCCTATCCACTAGTCCACTCCACCTCCCTCGGGTCCTATATCCTGCCCTTCCTAATAGGCGAGCCAGCTCTCTGGTCACTCCCAGGGTGGGCAGGACTCAAGCCCCGAACCCTGTGCTCCCCCAGGCAAATTCCTTATCTGCCTAGTCCATTCCAGAACCCAGCCCCCTACCTTCAGCAGCCCCCTTATCCTGCTTTTCTAATAACTTTCTAATGCAGGAGCCATCTCCATCCCTGGGGCAGCCTGTGCTGGCTGTCTAGCTGCTCCCAGAGTGGGGGGAGAGGGTCTCAAGCCCTCAACCGTATGCTCCCCAGGCAAATACCCTATCCTCTAGTCCACTCCAGAACCCACCCCACCTCCCTACCTTCAGGGTGACCCCTCCCACACTCCACATCCCTTGGCCCAAGGCCAGAGCCTGCACCCCAACCCTCTGCCCCAGCCTGGTGAAAGTGAATGAGATTCGGGGAGGAAGGGGGATGGAGTGAGCAGGGTGAGGCCTGGGAGAAGGGGTGGAGCAAGGGCGGGGCCTCAGACAAGGGGGGAAGGAAGCCGGGGAAGGGTATTTGGGTTTGAGGTAGCTCTTACATTGCACTTACATTGAAAAAGTGATCTTGTGGCTACAAAGGTTGGAGACCCCTGCACTAGGCAATTCTCCACTCCAAGCCAACCAGCTGGCTATTGCTTCCACACAATATTTTGTTGCCAAAAGAGCGGACTTTGTTTCGCACAAGTGGTTCACCTGTGCACGAGGACCTGCTTGTGCATCTGCATGTGCCTGCAGCCTCAGCACGTGTGCAGGCAGGCTGAAATGCTCACCCTTGGCTGCTGTGAATTGCCGTGTCTTGTGGCTCCTCTCCTGGGCAAAAGGGCTCTCCGTGTCTTCCAGAGGTTCCTCTATGTCTTCCTCAATGCTAGTGCTCCAAGGAGGCTTCTGTCGGGTCAGACGCCTCTTGGGAGCCCGGGGAGTCTCCTCGGGGCTGCCTTCCGCATCGAGTCTAGACGGAAGCTTCTCTTGGAAGGACAGGAACCGAGGCCGGGGGCAGGACGGCTGTTTACCAGCCCGCGGCGCTTTCTGCGGGCGAGCTGAAGAGGAATCCAGCTGAGGCGTGTCAGCTTTCTGCAGGTACTTGACGTCAAAGGAGAACCGCGTCCGTCTCCTCGCCCTGGCCTTTGCGTCAGAGTCTAACGCACGCCCAGGCCTCTTGGGCTTCAAAGTGTCGTAGAGGCCCAGGGATTCTGTGGGGAGACAGGGCGGGGTCTCACGTGAGTCCCTCGGCCTCGCTGGCAAAGGGGGCACACAGGTGAAGGCCTCGTTGCTTGACTGCAGACAGGAGTCAGCCACAGCCCGGAGGGTGGGGGGAGGGGGGAATGAAATGGCTGCAGAGCACACCACACAGTCCCTGACTGGCAGATGGTGTTCTCCCCTTGGGGCTTTGGGGGCGAGGGGAGGCCTGGGTGGGACTGGCAGGGAGGGAATCTGAGACCCAAGTGTGATGAAGTGGGGGTTTCCGAAGAGCTGTACATGATTGGTATGTGCGCGGCTATGTGTGCCTCAGTTTCCCTGAGGGGCTGCCTGTTTAACAAGGGGAAGGGGTTATTGTTGCAGAGCATCAGGTGTGACCTTGACTAGCAGCTGGGACCCCCGACCCTGGCCTGAGGTGTGGGGGACCCTAGCAACCAGGAACCTAGTGACCACGAGGCCTGGCCTGGCTTGGAAGGCAGCGGGTTCTGGCCAGTGGGAGAACAATGGGCTTCCCCAACCCTGTTTGAAGGGCCGGCCTGGTGCACGGACCATCCGCTAGCAGCCAGGACCAGCCACGGCAGCGCAGGGAGCAGCTGCAGACCACAGAAGCCACCACAAACTCCCGGAGCCGTTCTGCAGCTTGGGACGTGAACCCCAGGCCACCGCAGGCACAAGCCCGGATTTCTCAGTCTGCCTGCTTCGGGCACGACCACGCAACTAGGGCAACGTGGAGCAGCTGGGATGAAAACTTCAGATGGGAAAGAAAATCAACAGGCTGGTGTGAAATCCCGGCAGCGTGGGGGCTGGGAGTCACAGGCACTGTGCAGGGGCACTGGCAGGCCTCTGCTTTGGGGCTGAGCTCCTGACCCCCCCTCGCCCCTCTGCTCTGTGCTTGATGCCTAAGAGCCACAGGAGGCTGAGTGACAGCCAGTGGGTCTCAGCCGGGTTTGCACCGAACCCTTGTGAAAAGGTGCATCGGGCCGGATGCTGTGGTGCATGAAATTGGTTCCGGATTTGAGTGAATTTGCAAACTGCAGCTGAACTCCCAGCGCCCCTGGGCCCGGGCTGACGCCCACAGCCAGGGCGCGTGGACCTCGCCAGCTGGAGCGCGGCAGCGTCAACGCCAGGCCCACGTGTCGGTGCGTGGGCCACGTGCCCCTCTGTGCACCAGAGCCAGGCACAACGTGAGTCTGTGGCAGCGCCGAGCTCTCCAGCAGCTCCAGAGGCCCCGGGGCCGATCCACCACATCATGGCCCGCCTGGGCCTCACTCACCCACGTCCTCGTACTGATGCTCGAGGTCGCTCACGGCCATCAGGAAATCCCAGACGTTCAGCTGCTTGTCCTCTGCAAGGGGGCAGCCGGTCAGGCGCGGAGCAGGCATCTCGCACGAGGGCCCCGCCTATCAAGGGGGGCCGGTGGTATATGGGGGCCCAGGCAGCAGAGCATTGCAGCCAGACACACCCAGGGCAGGTGATGCATGAAGGCAAATGGCCAGAGTGCATGTGGCACGGTAACCCGATGCCCACCCGCCAGCGGGCAGCTAGGAAAGATCGCACAGGAGGGTCCAGGAGCCACACCCGGGCTGGGAGCCCTGCCAGAGTCATAAGTGGGTGTGGGAGGGTGCAGGGGGTCCCAGAGTCAAATCCACAAAAACTAAACCCAGGCTGGGGGGCTGAGAGAGGGAGGCCGGGCACTGACTTGCCACACCTGCTGCCACCCCTCCCCCAGCTTTATCAGATCACGTTAAGCGTGGGACTTTGGCCTCCCCAGACACGTCTGCCAGGCGGGGAGAGCCCCAGAACTCTGTCCTCTAGAGGTAATGTCCAGTCTGCACCCATCCGCCCCCGGGCGTGGGGAGGGGCGGCCCCCTTCCGGCCCAGAGCCTCCACACGCAGCAGGACTCGTGTTTGCGTCTCTTCTCACCAGCGCTGGTTTGGCACCAGGGATCCCTGTGGAGTCACTCCCCGTTTGCACTGGTGTAAGTGAGCGCAGGGTTCAGTCACTCCGGCCGTGTGCTGGCTACTCGGCACACGCAGGGGGCTCTGAAAGCCACCGGGACCCGTGCTGTGTCCGAGCCCTCAGGGCATCCCGGCCTGCTCCCTTGGATGAGGAACCTGCCCCACTGCAGCTGGCACGTGCGTGTCTAGCTCGCCCCTCCAGCAGGCACCATCAGGGACCATGCAAGCAGGACCCTGCTGCTCTTCCAGCCTAAGGCAGCATTTGGCCCTAGGTGCCGGCAAAGGGATCACAGGCTCTGCCACCCAGGGGCACGTCCCTGCACCAGCAGCTGAGACTCACTGGTCACGTAAACATGTTTCAGCGCCTCCTGCAGCGTCTCCAAGCTCAGCCCCACGCCCAGGCAGAGCAGAGAGGGCTGCAAGTCGTCCACGGCGATCAGACCCTTCCGCATCTTGCTGAAAGCCTGGTAGGTGTTCTGGAAGGCTGCAGGCAAGGCAGGAAACCGACAGGTTACTAAGCCCAGGAAGCAGGGGCAGCAGCAAGATCCCCCCTCCAGTGGCTCCTCTGGCAGAGGAACTTGCTGCCGAGTGTCTAGTTTACAGCAGAAAACGCCCAGCTGTTGAGAGCTAAGTGGCAAATAGACGCGGGTCAGTTTCAACGCGAGATGATTGAGAAAGAAAATCTGAACACCTGCATCTCAGCTTCCTTTGGGGTTCGATTTCCTGCCCTGAGGAAAGACTTTCTGGTTCCCTTTTTAATGCACGTGGTCATCTTATTGTAAGCGGGGGAGTGGTCCCACGATTGTGGGGAACTTTCCTGGCTTCTATACCACCCCGGTGAAATGGACCAGCGAAAGGATCTGAGTCCCCGCTCCCACTTCCTTTACCCCACGGCTCCCTGATCCTGAGGGCTCCCCCTCCACTCTCCTGAGTAGCAGAGTCCTCGAAACCCCAACAAGGCTGGGCCCAGGTTTCCTGGGGCTTAATCCCCGACCTTGTAGTCACTAGGGGCAGGAGTTAGGGTGTCCCCACTCCGAGGTGCTCTCCTCACACTGCAGGCTTTCTTGGCCCAGCGATCATTTTATCAGGTTCAAAGCAAATACAATTTATTAAACATCAACTGATTAAAGAGAAAAGAATAAGAAAAAATGAGAATGGTTAAATGAGAACACACAGCCCTGCTCTGTAGCACAGGGACATCAAAACAGCAGTCTGTAGAGTGTAAGGACAGTTCACAGTCTCTTCCTTAGAAGCCCTGGAAGTGCTGCAAGGGGCTGCAGGCTGGACACGCTTGCACTGGCAGTGACCACACAGCCTCAGTCTCTAAGTGGCCAGACCCCTCTCCCAGTCCAGAGCCTTTCCCCACACTTTGCAGGTCCCAGTAGCTCACCACATCCAGCTGCAGGCTGTGCTGCTTGGCCAGTTCCAGCTCCTTGTGTTGCTTCTCTGTTCCTTTTGGCTCTCTGAGCACTGCCAGTCTGCTGCTCAACACAGGGTCTGCACTGCTTGGCCTGTCTGTGTCTGGTTCTGTCGCTGCAGGACTTCTTCTTGTACTCCTCTTTCAGATCTCTGTCTTTGCAGGACCTCTCCTGCACACAGCTCGCACTGCTCTTTCAGCTCCCTGTTTGCCCAGAGAGAGAGCCAGAACAATCCCCACTTACAACCTGTCAGTCAGGCTGAGCTGGAGTGTTGACTGCTTTCCATTGTCTCTGGGGTCTGTCAGTCTCATGAACCCTTCCCCTTCTGAAGCTGGTAAACCAAAAACTCCCACAGAGTTTTAGTAAGGGGGTAACAGTCCCCTTACACAAGCAAGCAGGGACACCTGAGAAGTGTGTGTGTGTGTGTGTGTGTCTTTAAGCACAGGCCTCAGACAGCCTCAGGCTCAGGCAGAGCTAGAGCGTTGGCTGCTTTCCATTGTCTCTGGGGTCTGTCAGTCTCAGGGCCCTGATTTCTCATGGACCCTTCCCCTTTTGACACAGGGAGCTGGCGAACCAAAAACTCCCACAGAGTTTTAGTAAGGGGCTAACAGTCCCCTTACATTATTATATGACGGCCAGTTAAAAAAATCAAACTCAGGCCAACACAGTTTGATTTTACCAAAGCAAAACTTTTCAATTGGTTGGGAATGGATTTTTGTTCTCCGGAGTCACAGCCCAGGGGAAACCTTGAGAATGTTGGTTCTTGTTCTGCATGAGAATGGAAACCAATTCCAAATCCTGGATTTTCCTGCACAATGAAATTC